GATGATAAATCATCACGGGCGATGATAAATCATCATGGTGATGATAAATCATCGCGGGTTTATTACGAATTAACTTAACGGCCTGCTCACAGTTGGCTTTTAGTTCAATTGGTAGAGCGCTGCACTAGTATCGCAGAGGTCAGTGGTTCGAATCCCGTACAGGCCTGATTTTTTTTTTAGGTCTGATTTTCGCTATTGCATAAATAGCGCTATCTACTGCGAAGGATCGTGCAGCATACGTATTTAATACCGCAGTTCAAAATATATGAACTTCATATATTCATAGAATATAAAGTGTATTAGTAATCCAATTAGAAATGCATTCTTCATGCATTCCAGTTATAGCATTTCAGTCCAGTATGCAGTATTGTTTCAACAGGAAATGTTCTAATGCCCTCACAACTTTTATCTCAGTGGTCTTTTTTGAGTTAAAAAAGTTCGAGTTTCTTCTTGGGGCTAGATACAAAATTTCAAACAAGAACTCCCGTTCTTTGATCCTGAAGTCCTACACATGGATATTCCAGAGGGACCTTACGCTCATATTAATGACCATTAGCCAAAGTGTTCATAATAAAATGGCTGATCGACATCTCACTATTATCAGGAACCCTGAATCTTCTGATAAAAATTGGGAAATCTGCTGACAAAAAGCGGCCTTCCAGTTTTAATTAGGCCCGTGTTTTGACCGGGGTGATCTGGGTCATACGACTGTAGCACCGGTTAAGCCAGCGGAGTTCGCCTGTAGAGTTGAAATCCAACATGGGCGCCGGGATCTCACGAGCCACTCGTCTCATAAGGAAACCTTTGGAAACTCACAGAAGAGTGGAGAAAATACTGGAAAAGAAACCAAAGCCTGCACCAAAACACCCTAGCTCGGAATCTGCAATAGCTGATGCACGAAACCGTGAGTATTCTGAGAGGATTTGCTTGGAATCTCTGAAATCTTCGATCCTTAACTCTAAGTTTTTATGTTGATGTGTGAATGTAAAATTGAACAGTTCTGACTTACAAAAGATGTACTAACTAGTCATCGGCATATCAAGAGATTTGAAATGCAGTATGATATAGATTAATGTGGGACAGTACAATCAACGCATCATGTTATGACATTCCGCTTTGTATCTTGTCTAATTGCTTTTCAGTGCACCTCAGAAGTTAATAATTATTGTCAAATCAACTTCCTCTCGGAGATTATACAAAAACACTCGGCTAGGTAAATAGTGTTGAAACAGAGATCTAGCGCTATTCATATTTACATCGAATAGTGCAATCGACACTTTCCAAGGTAAATCCTTAGAGGAGCAACATCTGGTGTCCGTCCTAAGGAAGAGTATAACGTAACTTGTTGCATATATTTCAACCTCTGGATGCCTGAAATCTGAAGACTTGAAAAAGGGCAGAACCTTAGTGCATGGTTTGTTTTATTGCTGTACAATCCCGTGATTGGAGGAAAATTTAATTTGAGCTGCGCTGCAAAGTCTATTTGACATGTGTTAATAAAATGCAGTTTATGTTTGACACAAACAATCCACATTTTATGTTTCTGTGTAGCTGAGTAGTGTCTTAATCCAGGGGTTTCAATAAACGCCAGTTTGCGGCAATCTGCTGCTGCCTATCAGACCTCTATCTGTAGTCTGTTTAGCCTGAGAGCAGGCGCAGGCTTTCTGCTTCCATCAGCAGCTGTTTAGAGAGCAGGCTTTCTGCTTCCGTCAGCAGCTGTGTAGAGAAAAAGTTACTGAAACCTGATAGATCAATTTTGGTCTCTAGATAACAAGGAGCTGTTTAAACAGAGAGACAGAAAAGATGACATCCTTCTAGGCAGACTAAAGGATTTCAAAATAATGGATGCCCAGGAAGGGAAGGTATGAAATTGGATAGAGACTTTTTGTATTTGAAATTGTTCAGTTCTAGCACCCAAAGACTGTTTTAGGTCAAGGAGACTATCTTCAGTATCAATTTTGATAACTCATTCCATTCATTAGTGGTGTGAATTCCTTCCATAAACATTATTTATATCCTGATCCCACAGGAGAAAGAGAGAAGACCATGGTGATAAATCTGTGGTACTTTGATGTTTATTATTTGTATTAGTTTTGATCTTCAATCTCTTGATTTTGCAATGGATGTAATAATTAGACTGAGAGAGTTGTAGAGAAAAGTAGGTTTTTTTTGTGCAGCTCTCACAGAGCAATACATGTGAATTTGTTCTTTGTCTGGTGTTCATCGTGTGAATACCAACTTAAAGTAGTAGCTGCCTCGGTGGACCATCTAACTAATCAAAACCCTTGACACATGTTTCAGCCTATCACAGGAGAGCAGGAGACAAACAGAAAGTTACCCGTATCCCGCGAGTCGATGTCCCGTCAGGTAGGCGTGGTGCCGAAAGGGAAAATTACCTCAGTCCAATTGTCAGAACTTTTTGCAAAGAGATTGGAGGATCCTGATAAGTGGACAGATGAAAAACTTGCGGAGCACTATAAGCTCGACAAAGAAGCTTTATCGTCAGTTTTAAAGTACTGTAGTGATTATACAGTGGTGGCCAGAGCAGAATTACCCAGGCCACTGGAGCCGTCGGTTATTGGTTGACACTGGTGTATCTGGTGCGATCAGAAAAGATGCTTGATGTTACACGTAAAGGAAAAATCTTACGGTGTTGACCAATACCTTGAGTAAAGAGAGGTTCGTTTATCGAAAAAATCCATCGATTTAAAGTCAATTCACTTTCCGGTTGAATTTATTTGACCATTTAGTTTTTCACGCAGTCAATTCTGAGAAGCAGAGGACAAAAAAGTCACCGTCTTGCGCAGGATTGCGGTCATGATTTTACATGTAAAAATGCCGTAAACTCATCTGCTGTTATTTGACAATAGAAAAAAAAAAAAACGCAAGATTGTGACAACGATGCAAAATTTTCAGAGCCTTGCGTTCGATGCTGGTGGGATAAAGTATAAGTACTTGTGAGATTTCTTTTTTTTTCGCGCACAAACATGATATTTGCAAACAAATAAAGACAAACAAAGTACAATATAAAACAACATCTTTCATTTCTTTGTGGTTTTCTTTAAGCAAGACTTCTGATTGAAAATCGATTGACCTTTGCCCTCAAAACCTTACGACTGACCAGCGTCTAATTTCTCCTAACAGAAATATTGCTGAATCATTCATAAAGATCATGAAAACAAAGGAAATAATCGCGAACCTAAGAAGCTTTCATTGTTAAACGAAATCTCCTTGTCAGGTCCAAAGGAAATGGATAGAGAACAGTATGGAGAATACAGATACTGATACCACCTTAAACAGTAAGCTTCAGATTTTTTTTCCGTTCGGACTGTCATGCTTTGAATCCAGTTGTAAGTAATCGCCTGCAGCGAATTAAAATCATCAGAACCACAAAAGGAAGTGCGACCAATGTTATACCTCATTCACACCAGCAAAACATGCTTTAGTTAGTTAAATCAGTTTTAACTAAATAAAAGTCAGCCATGGAAACCTAAAAAACTAAATTTTACACAGCTTCAAGTATTGGGTAACTTTTGTTTACATTGAGCCAATTTTGAAGTCGATAAACATCACTTTAGTAGCTCCTATTAAGAAAAAAATTTCAAATCTTGTTTAACATCTTTTAAACTTGTTTTATTAAGTACAAAGGGGTTATAGTCTATTGCGTGCTGTGGATTTCATGTAGTTCAAATGTTTGTATACAAGACATTGAATCTAAAGTTTTATTTTAACTCAAAGCGTGTATGTGATAACCTCTCTAATCAGCATTCGTCTTGTGCGTGGAAGAATTCTTATTCATTAGTTTACTCTGCAAGATATTAACTTGGAGGAAATCCTCCAAGTCAGCTTATCAGGATTATTCAGATCGATAAGAAGGGAATTTGTTTCTTGGATTTGAAGTTAACGTTCCATTGACGTTTCATTGTAGGGCTTAAGAACCCGGCAAACAATGTTGATCTTGCGCCTTTGGCGGGTACTCAAATATTTCCTTGCATTCTTGATTGTTCCTCAAAATATCGACAAAGGAAATGAAGTGAATTATTTTTTGGGTCATATTTTCCCAGGGGGATTAAAAATGTGTTTCCGTGCAGGTAGAGAGGAAATTAATGGAAAAACAATTAAGTGATTTGTTCTCAGCCAGGTCACTTGTAGGGTATTTTTACGATAACAGATTACAAAATCGATGACACTCTAGCCTCTTGATAAATATTTTCACGGAATTTTTAATGCTGATATTCATGATTAAAATTAGCAGTGGTTGTCAATCAGTCTGTCTGTCTCCGTGAGCTTCTTGTCTCGAATATTTTTATCGATATTTCGAACTGGAGATGAAAATAATTGAAAACGTGATGCCCTGCATTGAAGAACTCAATTTCAAAACATACCGAGCGAAGTTGACATCGTTGATATTAGGTACTCGATCAGGAATTATGTCTGTTAAATTGAAATATTCGTTGTAAGGTGTGACTCGATGAGTTTTTTCCTTCCTTTGGTGAGTTAGCCGAATCCGTTCAGGTCCTAAGGTCCTTCTGTAAACAAAAAAAAGAACTGCAGACAATTTTGGGATATAAATTGGTAGCTTTACACATCTGCTTAGCCATGTCAAGCTGTAAAACTAATGAAGGAGACTCTCACAGAGTCTACTTCTTGTTGTCATTTCCCTAATAATGATAATAATAATTACAACTGTTATTATTATTAGTATTAATATTTTATTATTATTATTATATTATTGTGCAGTGAACGACATCCCTCGATATCATGCTTGCCTTTAAAGCTTTGAACACTCAGATCCCTCAATAGTAGCAGTCGTACTGAGTACTCTTTATTTAAAGAGGGTAGCACATAATAGTTAAAAACTAATAAACTTGTGGCCCTCTGCTATATATGAATAAAAATTACATTATTAAACTATAAGCAATGGACAGGTAATAATTCTATAATAAAAATTGAACAAATAAATACATAATAAAGTTCAATAAAAATTATGGATAAAAGTAAGGCAAGTGAGCTTGATCTTGTAGAAATTACTTTCTCAAGGCACGCTTAAAACATTTTACAATCGGCTGCTTCCTTATTTCACAATTTAAATTGTTCCAGGCCTGTATTGCAGACACTACAAACGAGCTTCCTCCTTCAGTCTTTCTCTTGTATGTAGGCGAAATAAAATTCAAGCTGGCAAACCTGGTATTACGTGAATGTCGAGAGCTATTCACTTTCAAGGAGTCCATATAAGATACTCTGGCACTGCGTGTTCAATTCTCCTATATAATATTGCACATTTATTATTACGAGTTTCTGCGTAAAAAGGCAGCCATTTCAATTGGTTGAAAAGCACAACAGAAGAGGCGCGTGGTTCTGCATCGAGTATAATCCTAGCTGCTCTCTTTTGGAGACGTAAAAGACGTAATAAACATTCATTCGTTACTTTAGAATGCCAAACAACGCTGCCATAAGTGAAAAGAGGTACGTCCAATATTACAGAACGAAGCATTGTCTCATCGTTCGAGGAACGCTATATCCCCTAAAACGTTTCCTTTTTAACGCGTTTCCTTCAAACCTTCAGTCAAATACTAAGGGAACAGATTTTGAAAGGAAGTTGTCTCCACTTCTTGTGAAATAATCCTTTGTTGGGTCAAAAAATTCGAAAATAGGGATATCCCTCGTTATAAGAAGCTATAAAGATTATCTCTTTGCTTTCTCTCCGTCATTATCGATGTTTTTGTTTCTTTGCTCACTCGATAACTTTACAGACTCTTACAGCGAGAGTGAGCCCATAGGCTTTAGTAGACTTGATTTTGTGCCATATTTGATTTGGTAAGTGTTGGTTTAGTCAGAAATTGCTGTTCCTTGATGAGATTGCGTCACCAGCTTTCTCTTTTGACCAGTTTATCTTAGCTCCAAGATCTGATTGTGAATTCTCCCCTCTAGCTGCTAAAAATTTCTTTGTAAATTAGTTACGAGAATTTGGTGTTAGATCAAAGGTTACAACCTCTATCTGTTAAAGTTGAGTATTCGCATGACAAAAGTGTATGCTGGATAATGTGTAGGGCAATGTAGGGAGAAATTACAAGTTAATCACTTCTGGGAGTTAAGCCCCCTCTGACAAGCCTTCGTCCTTGGCTTGTCACACTCCTGGCTAGGGATCGAAAATCTCTCATCAGCAAAACTCCCGCGCTTTGCTTGCGTGGGTGCCCTTGGCAAGTTATTAGGTACGTGCTAAAACATTTACATCATACATGTGTCATTACGTAGATTCCCCCAAAACAGTGCCGATGAACCATCTTTGACCACAATCCGCTTACAGGTAATGCTCCTGTCAAATACCCACTCTAACCTATCCGCTTTCTTTTAATCGAGAAGTTTCATTGCTGACATGGTTTCGAGAAGTGTTTCAGATGGTTGGGATTTGTGTGAGTTTTTTGGCCTTCCAAAAGCCGAAAGAAAATCGAGGTTCTATTTACAGGAAGCCAATTGAAATCAGAGGTAGTGCGAGGGTTTTTCTGCTGAATCACTTCCTCTTTTCTTCCTCAAGAAACTATTTTCTGGTTGAGATAGTAAGAGTACAACATAAAAATCAACATGTGTCGTTTCTGTTGCTAGGAAATAGCGGTATAAAAGGGTCAAGTTTTGTTTTGAAGGCGGTAGACCGTCCCGAGCATATAAATCTTAAAAAAGAAAGAGGGTGCGAAAACTTTTGTGGTTCAAAATTTCCTGTGATGCAAGCAAAAACTTAGAGAGGGATATATTTTTTCACTTCTGTGTCTTTAGTTCGTGTTTTGAGGTTGTCCACTACATTAAGATATCGGTTTCTCTAATTTTCTTTTTTGGAAAACTATTCTCCCCCTTTAAGTCCATGTGGCAGATCTTACAAAATCCAGTTTGCATTTTCGAACCCCATCAAAACCAGTGAGTGGTTCCTATCTTCTTGTTTAGAACTGAGACAATGGATGAAATATTGCTCCTTCTAAAATTTAATGAGTTGGTGAGAAAGCTTATACCTATTTACCAAATAAGTTATTGGTATGAAAACCGCAGGTGTGTTTCAACCACGTAGTTGAGAAAGTTCCATTGCTTATTGTTAGCCAGGTGTTCTACCTAAATAATAGCGGCTTTCACCTCTACTCCCACTTGCGAACAATTCATTACGAATGATTGAACTCAAGAGGGTTCTCGTCCAGATTAAGATGCCTAACAAATGACACATTTTACAGCTTTTTCTGCGAGTTCGTAATATATCTTTTTAGGTGGTTCAGAGTTGCTAAAAAAATTCCAAGCCCCCGTGTAAATTTACCGGGTTGAAATGTCACTTACGTGACAAGTGGTTGTAATCTGATTGTAACCAAACGAATAGAAGCTAACCTGCCCAGATCTCTCTCGGTTTAGTCAATGGAATCTTTGTGGCAAGTCACGAAATTTTCTTGGTAAATCAACGAGACTCCTAAACGAAAATATTCAGTTAAATCGTCTTCTTTCTTTTTTCGCTCAGCTGTCATCATGATATTGACTAATCACCAAACCACGATGTCAATATAAGAAGTCAAATATTATCCTTATGATGGAGGAAGTTTTTAAGGGTACAGACAAAAGGAAACGAATTCCTAGCGATCCAGGAGCTTGGAACTCTTGAAAAACTGCAGGGCAACGTCCCGTGTTTGTTAGCGTGGGTTACTTTGCTTGTTCGCACCATGCAACGTTTCTAAGGAAATGTTTTCATCACAACTCTAGGTGAAAATGGCTTCTGATCCCTTAGTCTCCCTACCCTTTCACCCACCTCAGTGCCTCCCCTCCCCCTTTACCATCGACTTGTTGGGGGGTGTGCAGGGATGGACATAGCACATTTCATTGCTCTAGAGACCAGGTAAGTACAGTTGGTCAGTCAGCCAGTCAATCTAAAGTGGAGGATTGGGAGGGATACAATGTACCTTGTATGGTCAGGAACACTAAGAACTCATCAATGCTAGCTGCCACCCCCCCCCCCCCCAAAAAAAAAAAAAAAAAAAGCTTTGGTATTGTAGAGACCTCATGAAATTATTTGTCTGGTGTGCCACAGACAACATGGTACTGTATGGCAAAATTTCAATTACCACCATACAAGCCTATGCAAGACATACCAAACAAAATGAGATAAGCTAAAGAAATTCCTCTTCTCATAAATTTTAATTGCCCATTCTTTTTCTTTTTTTTTTTTTCACTGTAACGTATAAGGGAAACTTTTTTAAAAGAAACTCAAGGGATAAATTAAAACTACACAGACTCTTTAACAAGTATTACAATAAAACTCTGATAACCTTGTATTCCTCCTTCAAAAATAACATTTGTTTGTAACACAAGTTAAATAGTTATGCCAGAGAGAATGAACATCTTCTTCTCTGGACATTTTTCTCACATGCTGATTCACTAAAACAGCAAGGGAACTTTAAATTCTTGCAAATTGTTATTTTTTTCTTGATTCAAATAGGTCTGTAATGCAGGATAAAACTTTCTTTAAAGTAATCTGACTTGACAAATAAATTCTAGCAGTGCAGCCTGATTGAATAAAAGACCAAAACACAGTAAAAGTTTGATTACTTCTGTCTTTAACCCTGTAACTCCCAAAAGTGATTAACATGTAGCTTCTCCTTACAATAACCATATATCCAGCAATCAGGTATAAATTTAAGAATACTCTAACTTATCAGGTTAAAGTTATCTTGATGTAACAACAAATTCTTGAATTCAATTTAGAAGACAGTGTGTAGCAGCTAGAGGGGAGAATGAGCAATCAGAGTTTGGGAGTTAAAGGTTTATTAACAGAATTTGGGATAAACTTCATTCATCTGAGACAGTACACCTAGTTTCCTCAAAGAACTCTGATAACAGTACACACAGTCTACTTAATCTTCCTTGATTAGTTGTCAAAGAGAAATGAAAATATTATAGTGGCATCAAAATTGTATGGTACAGATTCTGGTTTCTAGTCAAGACTTCAACCAGAAATGTCTTTTCTAAAAAGCATTGATCTCTTATTTGTTTATCAAAAATCATTGCGAACAGACCAAGATAGATTCACAAGAAAATTACTGTGCTCCCCACAAAACCACCCATAACAACAACTACAAAACAACAAGGAATCATTAAGTTACACATATACTGGATCTTTAGAAGTGTCTGTGCCACTGTCATCTGATGAGTACCTCCTTGCAGTGGCATAGGTATTACCACCATCATCGAAAAACCTTCTGAATGTGAATTCATAAAATGCATGCTCGGGAAGTTTGCCCTGTCTGGGTGCCACTGGTTCATTTGCAACTACTGAGGCTGCTGCTCCTCCTTCATCACTGCTCATTCTCTCTGATTCATCAACTGGATCAAAGTTTGATGTGTCAGTCGGAGAGGCAATGTGTGGGATATATGGGGCAGGTATGCGACGCACACCATAACTCCAGTCAACATGAGCAAAGAACGGATGATTCTTGATTTCTTCAATTCCATTCTTTCCAAGCCTCCGCTCTGGGCTTGTACACAGTCTCAGGATCAAGTCTTTGGCTTGAGGGCTAAGTTCAGCTTGCTTGGGAATGTGTAGTGTTGTTTCCCAGTTGATGACCTGAAAAAAAGGAAATGAAATTCACATTACACTGGGAAATCAATTGAAATATGCAAGGGGGATAAAAACTATTTGTAGTAAATTTAACTATACTTTGGCCCAGCTTTAAGACATAGCTATTTACAGAAAATTTTAAACCCCTGAGTATTGCAATTCTCTTTCAAAGATAGTGTTGGCAACTCTTTGAAGTAGAAGAAAATAAATCATAAAATAAAGAATTTCATGATAAGGAAAGACAAAGCAGACATAGATCCCAAATGGTTGAGAATAATCAAGGACTGTCCAAAGAGATACTAAGAATAATGCTAAATGAAATAGGTCAAGAACAAAATTTTTCAAGGACAGTGAAATTGTCTCTCAGTCTTCCAAACCTTTTGAGCAAATTGCAATGAAGTGCAACAAATGTGCCAACTGTTCAACCAAGCTAACTCATGGTTGCTTTCTTATCATACACAGACATTACATGCAGTAACAACTTGGAACACTGCCATACAACCACCTATTAATTAATTTACAACTGAGTTAAAAGAAAAGCTCTATTCAATCAATGAACCAGGTAATGACCACCTTGTCATTAGTCAATTTTGGTTGTGTTTGTAAGCTTCTGCTGTACCACCTAAAAGTTTTACACTTCTCTGAAATGGAGAATCACCCACCCACCTTCAGTTGAGTATCTGCTGGTGTGGAAGCCAAGAATGGAGGTTGTCCAACCAGCATCTCATACATTATTACTCCAACAGACCACCAATCACAAAGATGCGTGTAACCACTTCTCTGCAATACCTCTGGTGCTATGTAATTCGGTGTACCCACTAAAGAATGCGCAAGACTCCGCTTGTGCTTGCGAAAGTGCCTTCTCTCCAGTGGCTTCATTTGTTGAAGTGACTTCTGAAGAAGCTGTTCATTTAAGTCTGCAGAATACTCCATTTGATCCCAGTACTGCATGCCATAGTCCATGCTTTCTTGTCTTTTATGGCCATCCTTGTCCTCATAATACTTGCTGTCATGGGTCCAACGAAAGCCAGTGCAAAGCCCAAAGTCTGTCAGTTTGATATGACCATCACGATCAATCAACACATTGTCTGGCTTTATATCCCGGTGCACAAATCCCATGTTGTGAACTGACTCAATTGCCAGTACAAGTTCTGCAATGTAGAACCTTGCCAGATTCTCTGGAAAGATTTCAATTTTGATCAAAAGGCTCATTAAGTCTCCTCCTGGGATGTAGTCCATCACCAAATACAAGAATTTATCGTCTTGGAAAGAATAATACAACTTAACAACCCACTCATTGTCAGCCTCTGCAAGAATGTCTCTTTCAGCTTTGACATGAGCCATCTGATTGCGCTTATAAACCTCAGTCTTCCGAAGTATTTTCATGGCATACAACATGTTTGTGTCTATTTTCCGTACAAGCCACACTTCTCCAAATGCTCCCGTACCAATTTTACTTATCTTATCATACATAGTTATATCCATCTTTGATCGCTTCAGACGAGTGTAATTTGTTTCTTTCTTCATTAGGATTTTTCTCATTTGATCTCTCGCATCATGAGAAAGTCCAACTTTATCCATCTCCTCTTCAAGCTGAACACGTCTCTTCTCCCTTTCCTTTGTGTTCTTCATTAAATTTTCAAAGTGTTGCTCCAAGTAAAATTTAGTTGCTGTGGGAGAAACAGTCTTTAGTTTTGATTTCTCCTTGTATTGTCCATATCTCTGGCCCGGTGTCAGAGTCTCCATATCAGACTCTGACATTTGATCATCATCTTCATTACAAGGAACTGAGGCCTCCATGTTTGGAATTGGTGGCCGTTTGGGTGAATCAAGACGGTAAACAACTGTCCCAGTTACATTGGTAACCTTTGTTGAACCCTCCACCGTGAATGATGAGTCCGACAGAGGAGAAGGAGGTCCACTGTCATTATAAGAACTAGACCATGGCATTTCGTCACTTATTGAACCAGAGTTGGATGATGTTTCTGTATTCCAAGAGTGTCTCCACTGATCACAGGGAGGTGGTACTGGTGACCGTGATGATACGCGTGGTACATGGATTTGCCAGTTGCTTGCCTCACCCATGCTTACATCAGAAGGAGTCTGCCTCCTTGGAACTGGAGCATATGCAGGTGGAGGATGAAGAGTTGGGTCAAAAGACTGAACAAAGTGTGGCACTGGAGTCTGTTGTGCACTTGGTATGGGTGAGTTGCAGTTCAATGCATCACTGTGTGTACCCTGAACAACCGTTGGAACAATATGTGGAGCCGTATTTTGGTAAAATTGTCCTTGACTGGATGCCTGAATGTTCTCAGAGGAATTTGGTGGAAAATTGGTTTGAACATATATGTTGAACGACATATTATTTGTGCCACTTCCTGTAGCATTCGGAACCTTGGTAGCCATCCGGCCTCCTTGATACTCATCAGGAGCAGAGTTGTTTCCAGTTAACGTGAGGTTAGCACTTACATGAAACTGCGGAGAAGGAACATTAGCACCAACACCATTGACAAATTGTGCTTGACCCTGATTCATCCCTTGCATTGGTCTTGGCCCAACAACTGCTGTAGGTTTCCAACCAAGCTGCAGTTTTGGGCCAGTTCGCTCAACAAATCTTTGCTGAGGTGTTGCTATATGTGCACCACGCCACGGTTGGACAAGTTGTCCAGGGTTATTTGACCTCTGAACACACCACTCAGCCCTTGTAGCCTCTGGTGTTGACATTCCTGTACTTGCCTGTGCACATGGCATGGAAATTGTACTGTGTACCCTTTCTACAGCATTCATGGGTGATTCTGCTCTGGCTGTTTCCTCTTCTGAACCTTTCCAAGGACGGTTGACTGCTGCATTATAGGGGGGAGGAAGTTGAGACCGACTGTTTGGTGTATTTGAACCAAAATTGACTCTGTTGTAGCCCCCCGTTGATGCTAAAGTTTCAATAAGTTGCAATGCATCCTCCACTGTCCTGTTAGCAGTCATCTTTATGGCTTCAGTGGCCGTATCCTGGAATGAGAAGTCAAAGTGTAACCATTGATACCATATCTAGAATTTTCATCCCCCCGGGTGAGTTGAAATAGAAAACATATGTTCCAAAAAGTACCCGCACTGGTTCAATCAGTAGGTCAACATCCAACATTTTTCGGGATTTCAAAAATGTCGCGTAATCCGATATTCGGTCACCGCATTTTTTGGCACCTATTTTAAGCTGAAACATTTATCAGTTTTCAGGTAAATGATAGTTTCAGGATGCCTGTTTCCAGATGTCCCTTTAAATAGACACTCCGAAAGAAAGAAATTGCAATGAAATTTCAGATCGTTTCGCATGGTCGTGCACTTGTATCGGTTCTCACGTGAGTGAAAGGCATGAGTGCAACGAATGCTATTCAACACTCCATGCTAAGAACTCAAAGCCAGCAGCTGAAGGAATCCGTTGAAACCAACCCTTTGACCTGCGCTTCCGGACAGACTTCGCAAAAAGAACACAACATTTGCCACATCCAAATGCTTGAGATGATAAAGCATTGCGGATATGTAACTTAACACGAAAAAGAACCGGCGATAAAAAAAAACACTGGCGGCCGAGCGGAAAAAATGGTCTTTCCCCTGAGATCTAAAGCTCATTTACTGACTTATCACAATAAAATCGATGCCAAAATGTACATCTGTTGTTTTCTATCTGTGGGATGGAGAGAGAACGGTACAAGATAAAACAACAGGAAAGCCTCCAGCATAATTTATCGAGAACTAAATATTCGAGATATACAGTGAATCTATCATTGTATACCCGGGTTATATGACCGAAGCAAATAAACACGAAGTACCCTAGTTCACGACTTTTGTACGCTTGCAACATCCACACAAACGAAACATTGGCATGAAGTAATGAAAGAACCGAGACTAGAAAGGCCTGTCGAAAACAAAAAAGTAAGTAGTGATATAAATACAGTACCTCGTCCAAGCCCATTGCTTTGAGTTGACTCATCAAATACTGTTTGTTAATGGCCTCTCCATTCTCAGAACATGAAGAATAACCCGATTCCGTGGCCTCGAAGGGTTTTAAACTGCTCCTTATTTCGGCCAAAGCTTTCGCATGACTCATTCCTCGCCGATTCGGGTTGTGTGCAATCCTTGATGCGTTTGGTTGAGTAGTTTGTTCGTGTACAACCGTTGTCGCCGTGTTCGAGCTCGGGGTTGCCGCTGGTTGTTGTGAAAGTCTCTGAGGTTGTTCAGGCTGCCTTTTCAAATGTTGTAAACTCTTTTTGATATCCCGAAGCATTTGCTGGCTGTTCCCGACATAAGTCGTTCGCCGCGTTGGTTCTCCTTCCCGCATCGACATGTTCGTTGAAGTTTGTGTATGTTTTTAATGTTTTCTTTGTGATCGCAGATTCGCAAAGCGTTGAATAGTCAAACCCGAGACAATAAAGCTCTCAGTGAATGGTTTTATCTAGATAGATCCCAAAATAAAGTCTAGCTAAAACCCGACCCTTCAGTGATGAAATCACCTTCGTTGATAACTCAAAGATTCTCAAATTCCATTGTTGAATACGTAAGACTACAGTTTCACATCCAGCCAGTTCGCAACAGGAATATTGACGTTGAAGTGTAATTTGAAGATCCAGACGCTCTCCCGTCTATGCGAAGGACGAGAAAATAAAATATCGAAGGACCTTGGTTTACGCCACGATGAAGCTGATCTGTAAGAGAGTAGGGGTCTTGCTCACGCAAATAGATATTTCACATTCCACGGAAGGCATCTAGGTATCACCTCACTTTGAAGTTATTACGGACCCAAAATACACTTCCGATCCGAGAGTCTAGAATTTTGAAAATCTTCTGCTTTATCTTGTCTCCAAGGCAGGTTCTTTGCGATCCTGCACGACTTCGATAACCTACGAAAAGTATATAAACGGTTAAAAGCCTTTGCGAAGGATAGACAGATTAGCTGCACAAAATTTATTGTTTGCTGTGCGAAAATGACATGTCCACCCCCTTAGACATAAAATTAACTTAATTGACACATAGCGATCGTGCCTTCTCAGGTTGGGGTTATGATTGGCTAGTGGTTACCATGGTGAACTGATGAGGTCGAGAAGAGACAGCCTGGTTCAAAAATATCACTATCCCGTTCCAGACAGAAAACTCGATTTTTGCTGTTTGCGTGTCGGCGCTTCGAATTCTTTCATTTAAATCCTCATATTGTCTGTTCATTGCTTGTGCTTTCTGACTTCACAAGTGGAATCTTAAAAAATAAAAGAATACAGTCTGCATCAAGGATGCAAATCTCAAGAGAAAATGCTAGACGAAACCACGAATAGCGTCACGATGCGACATTCCAATATTGTGAATAATATCACAAATTTATTCACGCTATAACTGAGTGTTATCTTGCCCTTACAAATATTTTGTTCGCTAAAGTCGTACAACTCATCGCACGTTTAAAACTTCTGTCAGTAAACTGGATAAATAGACTGTTTTCATTTTTTGACTACTTTTGAAGGGACAGGAAGTCAGAATTCTTGGGAAACAACGTCTCAAAAAGTCCTAAGGGCTTCCGGTAATTCAAAGAGTACAGTTGGGAAAATATTCAGGAGATACGCAAGTTTTGTGGTTTTCGCGCTTCCGGCTGAGTATTACGGGAACTCAGAATTGATAATTGTTGACAAAAACTGTCTTCGACAACGCTAACTTGATTTAGTTTCATTAAGTCTCTTTATATGCTATATATGGCTAGGTTTTCAGGCTCTGACATGAAGTAAAGCCAAATTCGCTGCACGAGCAAAACGAATATTCAATCTTTTGGTTACCACCCATGGCGATCAAAAGAAAAATGAGAATGTTCGCTGGTCACGCGAGCATGAACTAAAACCACGTGTTAACAAAGTCTATCTTAGCTTTCCTTAAATTCCGCTGACTCTGAAACCATTGAAGTCCACATTCTGGAAAAGATCAACGCCCAAGCAAACGAAAGCCAATTTACCCCTCTGGGGTTTTCGCGCTCTCCTCCACGCGACTTTCCAATCACGCCCAATTTACCCCATTCTAAATACAACTGCGAAAAGACCACGGGCGGTGTGTTTAAAAGTATAAATTTAGGATCAGAGATGAAAACAATGAAAGATATTTTGTTTTTACCTGAGTTGGTTGAGAAGATTTTCTCTCGGCGTGCGTGTGACCTAACCTGCGTCTCAAGCGACCGAGTGGCCCGCTTATAATTTGAGAATTGAAGTGTCCTTCTTAAGGATTATTTATCACGGCATTAAACCCTTGCGATAACCTGCGGTATCTTGTAAACGCAAAAAGGCCATATAGAATAGGTTTTTGAGTGAACAGGAAGTTCGTATTGTCGTTGTGAAAGCGGGGAGTGTATTTGAAATAATCCTACGGCATTGTGCGTGGGCTGCGTGGTAATAAACCCAAATCGATTCGCAACAGTAGACATCGAAGTACACAATCAACAGGGCTGTCATAAATTGCTTTGTGAAATGAATTAAGTTCTAATACTGACGTCAAAAACTACAGTAAAAGTCAGACAAAAGCACTGTTTTGTCGTGCGATATCAACATCACTAAAACAAACTGATTGATGTAGTTTCAATGTTGATTTAGGTGTTTCAGGGCGTTTAAATTAAGGTTGACGTCATTCGTTCTAAGAGGGCGAGATAACGGAATAATACAAGTTACTGAAAGCAAAACAAAACCTATTCTTGATAGTTTTACAAAGTGGGGGCTGGTTGCACATGACCGATTTTCTTGCTCGCATATCTTTCAGTTTCAGTAAGAAAGAAAGCGGCATTTTTTAACCAAACAAAGTTTCCTAATGATAGGCCGGAGCATTTTCTTGCCCCGAGGCGCTTCAATTTTTTGTAAAGCGGTACTTAGATGATATTTTCTTCAACTTCTCAAACAGAAAGTGCCTATGTTTGCATCTCCCATAGACTTCTGGCAATATACCATTATTGCCACTGCCGACAGTCTCCACTCCCTCGCACTATGTTGCCCTGAAAGGGCATATGATATTGAGGGCATAAAAAAACCTTATACGGTAACTTTTGAGGTATAATCTCATGCGTTAACTATTAATGCAAATCTTATTTTAACCGTAAATGATTTCAGCAACAATAAGTAAAAAATTACTCACCCGTATGAAAACTAGGTATCACTGAAATCACAGAGCTAAACAGCCGAAGGAGTCTCATGATTTAGGTGAACTAACTTGGTAATAACATCCGCCTTGATTGGTACGTTTACAGGTTTTGCTTACAGTTAGGTTCTTTATGGTCTTTTGTTTAAATATAAGATTAGCCACCTAAAAATTCACTAGCTCAATATCCATTGATTGATACCGATTTATTTGACTCCCTGTAAAACTCTTTTCTAAAATTTTCGCTGTTTCTTTGACAGATCATTTTGGAAATATCACATCGCTGAAACAAGTTTTGAAGATTATTATGCTCCAGTGGTTTGATTTAGCGAAAACGTTTCCGGAATTAATGCTCAATGCTGAAAAAAAAAAGGCCGGCCGAAGGAACTTTATTTACGACCCCAGGTCATAACATATACAGGTACAAGAGCCGTGAGAAGAAACTTCCAAAACATTTCCAATTATAGCATGTTGTCCATTATATGAGTATGTATGTGGTGGGTGTGCAGTAGGCGGTGATATTTGGTCAACAACCCAGAACGCCTTTTCATCGTCAAATGATCATAAGATAAAAATAGCGAATTATGTAAGTCGCTGCAGGGTTTGAAAACGCACTTGACCCTCTAGGGTTGATTTCGTCAAATAAGAAGCCGCATTCTCGCCGAATGAGCTCTCTAAACTCCACATATATCCCGCAATCACTAGCATTTTTGAGAAAAGTTCGCTGACCAGAAATCGTCCGCATTAAACTTCTTCGTTTGATGTTTAGTGTCCAGCTGTTGTTACAGTTTTCTTCTGGAAATTTATAACTTCTGGATTGAAACTTTCACCATGAGAAAGGAGGAAAAAGGTAAAAAAACTGGCAACTCTCCGGCAGCTAGCGCCTTGCATTTGTGGAGTTTTAACACTGAAAAATTATTCCTGACCTCAATTATCTCCGGTCCATTTTGAACATTTTCAGTTTGTATCCAGTCTGCTTAAAAATAAATTTTGATAATCGGCAATCTTACGGTGTCTCATGATCGATAAATGGCTGTCGCGAAAGACTAAAAATAACTCCTATGACAATACCGATAAAAAAAAACCTTCTTTATATCTATATCTGTACTTTTATAGCTATTGAGTAATTGCTAACTAGTCAAGGGTTTCTGTAAAACTGAGCTACGTTGTCGAATTAATACATCATCGACACAATCGGTGTCCGCCGAAAACTGAGGAAATGGTAATTAAAACCCTGCAACTAGCTTGTGACGTTACAAAATAGAAATATTATTTGATTAGTCATCTCGATCCATGACTGGGAGATATTGAAATCGGCCTAATTTCTGTTTCCTCTTTCTTGATTGCTTAATTAATAAGCGTATTTTGAAGTAAGAAAGATATGACAAAGTCGTACTAAAGAGCATCTACGCTCAAAAATCGATTTCGTCAGCAAAATTTTCCTCCGGTGTGAAAAACAAATATATGAATGCTTTTTATAAAGTGGGTCAAAACACCAAGTGGAATAAAATTGATTAAACTTAATCTGTCATTTCTCAACTTGAATCTGCCTGTGGACACGGAATTTTCATAATTAGACGGCATGCAATCTGCAGAATGTCTATGACAAGATGTTTCACTGCGCTGAACCGATCAAGTGTTTATTAATAAGTTAATCTTTTTTCTTCGGTCCGACGCAGCATAGTTAATCGAGGGGACTATCGATTAACTATGGATACAGCTTTTATAAGACGTAAATGCCGACTTCAGGGTATGAGAAGCTCAAAGTCCAAAGTTGAATTGAACAAAGTAAATTTTTGAGGGATGCTTTCAAGATCTTTTGCAACACCTAAATAATAATCTTAAGAATGGCTGTTATTCAAAATGTTCAAAATATCTTGTTTATGAGCCCCGATGGAGAGTTTCGATACAGCTTTTTAGAGGATGTTTACCTGCATCTAGTGTTTCTATTTCTGCGGTGAAAGCGTAAAGTTGATAAATCCTTGTCTGCATGGTCAGTTTTATATACTTTGCTCACTCGGGCATGACATAACTGAATGGCTCGTTAACCCCATAATTTACATGCAAAAATGTGGACTTTTCGTGTCTTGTACGGGATTAATTCGTTGGAAATTTATCTCTTGATGGACAAATTTTAAAAATGTGAATTCATGCATGCGAAGGATAACTGATTTTCAAGTCCTGCAGGCCTCACTGTTTTCTCTTACCTTATTGAGAATAGTGCATACACCATCCAACCTTACCAAAATGGTCAGGTTTCTCCAAAACTTTCTGAACTAAATTCTGGTAAATATGTCGATAGAATTTCAAAGATTTACCAAAAAATTGTAAGCGTCGTATTTCATTTTGACGTCCTAGTTGTGCTCTGGGTTGGAGCTCTAGAATAAGGCCTTCAGCTTTGCTTCATTGCAGTGTTTCAGACGACTTTCAAACTAACCTCCTATAAATGATCTAAGAAGCTTCCAGGGGGAGTCCCCGTGGAGCTCCAGGGGCTCATAAGTTTTGAGAGCCTCCAGAGGCCTTATCAGGGAGGAACTAAAGGGACTGGCGGAGGAGAGAGGGGTAGGGGGCACGGGCTCTCAAAACATGTGAATCATTATTTCTGAATTGTCCCTCGTCCTTTATGAGTAGCATTTGCAGCTCGCATTTGTTTGTTTGTTTTTTACGCATGACGGAAACTATAATGATACAGGTTTTCAAATACAAGTATAACCATTTGCAGCGCGTCATTATTTAGTGAAGCAAGGAAAATGAAGAACACGAGGAGCGGGGCTCTGAAATTTGAAATAGGGGATTGGTAAAGAGCGAAGAGGTGGGCTTATTGGGGCGTTTACAGTATAAAGGTTCCACGACGTGAATCCAAGTGTGTTAAATATATCAAAACAAAGAAAAATGTGAAACATACGTTACCAACGGTGAACAAAGAAAAATTCCATGCGAATTTCTCCCTGGACGACTGAAATCTTTCACCCGCTATTTCGTGTTCGGATGTTGACCAGATGAGCTTAGCTCAAAAAATTCATCGGAGACTTATAGACCATGTATTGTATAAGTTCATATATGACCAGCTTTATGCATGCATGCATGTACATGTAGGGCTTAGCAAAATCAATAAGTGTGGATATAAAGTTAAAAAAACCAATCATTTGCATTTGTCAGTGACTTTGTTATTTGTGGAGCGCATTCTTTGCCAATTTGCAGCTAAACTAAACTAATATAAAATCTGACGTATTGAGACACCGGCGAAATGGTTCTCAGACTGGCGATATTTATCAAGAATGTACTTCAAACCAGACAAATTTTAAAATCACATATGGTTGATCGACATTTAGTTCAAAATATTTCAGTCGACACTAGCAAAAGCTGTCTGTTGCTCATTAAAATTATTTTGAAACCGGCCAGACTATAGAGTATTTTAATTAGGGCTGTTAAAAGCAAATCTTCCGTGTGCATCATTCCTGAGATGAGCAAAATATCGACTTACTTATTGCAGGCGTTAATAAGAATGATTTGTATATCATCGTTTTAATCAAGGATAAAAAAATTCATTGAATAGAGGAATAATTAATAAAAGAAAAAGCCGGCGCTGCTGACTGATTTAAAGAATCTCAAGTTTTTTCTTCAGTGAAATGAACTGGGCAAATTACGAGATACTTGTACACGGGTTGACGTAGCAAATGATTATGCGAAAAAGGCTTTTAATTTCAAAATGCAAAACGCGAACTTTTCACACTGAATTCGGAAAACATGCTTCGGTAAGCAGAGGACTTTTAATTTCCCCTTGCACATTCTTTAGTCGTCTCGTCATTAATTAACTAGAAATTCCAGCTAATGACAGAACATTTTGCTGCATGTGATATTTGGATATCGATTACGATGCTAGCTTTAATCAACGTCGGTAATCAAACCAGCAGAGCAGAGAAACTTTTGAAACAAAGTAACTAGAGACAGTAATTTTTCTCTTCACCCCTCTCTTTAAGCTGTACATTCTCTCAGAACCATGTCTTCGCAGCCAGATCCATGGTTGTCTACATGTCTTTCGTGACAATATAGTAAAGCAGTTCAGAAAGCTTTTC